ACACTGGCAACCAATCATTCCGTCAAGATCTCTTCGTTAGTTGGGGGAAGAATCCGCATGAATCGGATTTTTGAGGAATATGTCAATGGAGAATTGGATTTGGTTAGACAATGTGTGGTTGGTAAACAAGGATTGGTTTTTTAGTAAAGTACGGAATATATCATCTAATATTCAATATGATATTTTAACAGTGTCATGTATGAATGATTAATTCATAAAATAATCTCAATGTTCAATATTAAAGTTCTATTTTTTATTAATATTTTAAATCTTAAAACAGTAATTTACCATCACTTATAAATTATAATATCTCGTCAGAGTAATAATTAATAGCGAAGAAACATAAAAGCCGCCACTTATTTTAATGTAAAGATCAAAATGAAGTGTAAAATTTTATTACGTGCGGATTAGTCAAATACAACTATATGGAATGTGGGATTTGATTTATTTAAAGTGGGAGGATTGCATTCAATAATGCGGTAGATAGACATAAACCATTAACTAAGTCTTATATTGAATAGTCACAATTAAAAAACAATAAAAAAAAATTACATTACTTTTTAAGTAATCACATCACATTAAAAGTTCGTTTGTTTAAATTTTTAAAAAATACGTTTGTAAATAAATTATTTTTAAAATAAAATAATTATTTAATAAGTAGATAAGAATTACTTTTTAAAAAATTGTTTATTTTAAAAAATAAATTTAGATAAATATATTAAAAAATATCATTTTATAAATATATATAAAAAAGAAAGAGAGATCTTTTTACTCTGAGAGTAAGTTTATTTAAACTTATTTTATTCAATAATTCATATTTTATATCAAATTGTAATAATATAATAATTAAAATTAAAATTTTTAATATATTAATCAAGTTTATTAATCTTTAAAAAATTTAAAAATATTTGATATGTCATTCATTAATTCAAATTAATGTAATAATTATCTGTTAATTTAAATTAATGAAATAAAATATCAAATAATTTTTAATTTTTTTAAAAAATTTTAAACTTAATCGATATATTAAATTTTTTAAATTTAATAGTTATATCATTAAAATTTAATATAAAATATATATTATTAAATAAAGTAAGTTAGATAATAATAAAATATTAAATTATTATTGTTACTCTGGCGAGATATTATAATTTATAAGCGAAGGTAAATCCTCGTGTGACGTGAATTTCCGATTGAGTTAGATTATAATAAAATTAAATTGAACGGGCATTGTTTTAAACACGATCTGTAATTTTAACAATAAACATCAGCATATAATAATCCTAACTAGAAACGTTAATATGTACAAAAGAAAAAGTATTTTTAATTTCCCCTTTTTTAAGTACTGTTAACCAACACGAGATGTTAATATTTTGTAACAACTAAAGCTATTTATATAACAACTTTTTTTATATATAAGCGAGAGATAAGAAAAGAAAAAAGTGTAAAATAAAAATAGGCAATTTAATAAAATAAAATAAATAAATAAATGCATAACAACCATTAGAACGATGTGTTATATTGGAAAAATTATTTTTATAATTATTTTGTCTATGGACATAGTGTATACATGTCTTAAAGATAATAATTAAGGATTAATTTGTGTTTGTTAAACATGTATTTTGTTAAATAAGTATTATTTTAATATTGATAAAAATTGATCGTGTAAGCATTGTGTGATTATGTTGGTCTTTTGTGTAATAATTCGAGAGATCATTACTCTTAATACAGTATAGTTACTACACAGTAGAAAATAATAAATTGAAATTAAGTACCCTAAGATTCTCATACAACAATACAAGCAGAAAACAATAAATTAAAATTAAATACCTTAAGATTCTCATGCAACAATACATAATCATTCATGCAGCAGATATATATGTATAGGGTGCATAAAACTTAAAATAATTCCTATTTACAAGACTATAAAACATAAAACCCCCGATGGAGTTACATAAAAACCTTGCACATATATACCATTTACATCACTATACACAATACTAAAAACATAAAAATCTATCGTTGATCAAGCAACTATATACAAGTATGATCGTAACACTATTGTCAATGATTTATTTTGCCTGCAATAAACTCATGTAATAAAACTGGAAGAAAATAATCCATATCAACCCAATCCAAGAACAGAGAGGAAAAGAACGAAAGAAAGGCTATTGTATGACATAAATCATAAAACATGATGTTCTTTTTTTTTCTTTTGAAGGAAAAACATGATTTTTTTTATCATGGAGAAAAATACAAGACAAATTAAGGTCCGACAAAAATTACATGCATGGCATCAACCAAAACAATAAAACTTAATTTTGGAGGACATGCCTCCCATGTTACAAAAGGATCTAAACAAGAAAAACTGTTTAACCAATAGATACGTGCATTGATTTTCCTCTCTTAAGGTGTGATGAAAGGAAACTTGTTAAGCTTGTTCACCAATACATTCGATTTTATTGATAAGAGTTGTGTACGTATGCCAAAGGATAATCTTGTTGGATTAAATTATATATCATTAAAAAATTAGTCTCACATATGACCCTCCTAAAGCTAGCATCCCAAACTACTCGTAAACCTGATAGATAGCCAAAAGTTCTACATGCATGTTAGTAGTAACACCACAATTACTAAAAATCCCAAGAGTCAATTACTACATGAATTCCTAATGAGGCTCCAAATCCTAATATGTTAGGATTTCTTCTGCTACAACTATCGACACTCAATTTTACATAGTAAGAGGCTTCCACAAAATCTACCTTTGATTTAGAATAGCATGTGACATATTGGATGAACAAAATGTTGAGATGAAGATATCTGATTAGCTAAGTTATATATATGTTTGCATATTTATACAAAATATTGTATAATTAAGACTTCCTTAATTTTGTCCTATTGGTAAACTTTCTTATCTAGCTCCATGATTTATAGAAGTAAAATACTATATGAATAGAGTATTATGTATACCGAAAGCATGAATAAAAATCATTGATTTTTTTTTTCTTTTCAATTTGGTACTAGAGCTTAAGCTTTTTTTTTCTAAACCTTTCAAGAAGATCTTCAATGGAGAGGTGGCAGAAAAAACACCAATTTTAGTGATAATTCAATTTGAAGGTGTCTTTAACGTAGGCATCATCCTAACCGAATCCAATTATGGTGTGTGGTCACAACTAATGGAAATGCACATTGTAGAAAAAAATTGTACATGATACCCCTTAGATCACCTCATGTATAATGAGTTTATTTTAGTTTTTAAATTATTGTCATAATTATTTTAGTTTGTTAAAATATGAGTCAATTATTTAAAATATACCAAATTAGATATAAGAAATATTTAAAATATTTTTTATATGATTATCCTTTTTCATTATAGATTTATAAGCTTACGACTTATATGTACGCCCAGTGTACGGATCCAGCAATTTTAAATAGTGGGAGCAATATTTAAATACATAAATTTGTCAAAATATAAAATAAAACTTTTATAAAGATAAATATATATTATAATTGTTCTTTACAAATTTTCATAATTTGAAAATATTGAATGATTTGCTCATTTTCAATACTATCAAAAACCTTTCTCTCTATAAGTAATTAAACAATTATTTAACCAATCATCTCCCATACAATTTCGCATCCAATTCTTGATGATATTCATAGCAGAAAAAACTCTTTCAACTGATGCAGTTGCCACCGGTAATATCAAGGCTAGCTCTAAAAGCAAATACACCAATGTATATACAACATGTTTTCTTGTCTCCACAAGTTTCCTAGAAAGATATTAATCCCTTCTAATTTTGAAAAAGCACTGTTAAAACATATATCTATGAAATAATTTTCAAGTTGGTTATCTAATGTAATGTTCATAACATATAATGTTTCTTCTAAACATAAAAATAGAATGAGTAAATAAAAATTAAAATACTGAATTTCTCATTGAAAATATTTTTTTTTTTAAATAAAGTAATATAAAAATAATAACTTTAAATACACTAACCTCAAAGATCACTTTAAATGTATAGTTTAGCTATTCAAACAAGAAGGAATAGAGATGGAAGAAGAAGTTTTTTTTTTTTCAATTTCGTTGTTCTACACTTTAAAATATTTTAGAGATAGAGGGGAACTTCAAAATATGAAAAGAATTGGAAAAAGAAAAAAGAAAATAGAAAAAAGATATAAAATATCTAAAAAGAGGTTATATAGCAACTTATGATTTTTTTTCTTTTACTTAAAATACATACATTATTAATTTATAATTTTTTTTATCTTGATTTACAATTTAAATGCATAACAACTTTTTTTTTCTTCTAAAACATGTAATTTGTTGTTATTTTTTATAATAAATTAAAATATTTTTTTTTAAATCTTCCTTCTCACACAAAGATAACTGCAACAAGACTCAAATTCAATTTTAATTTTATAACTTTTAAATTTTTTTAAAAAAATTTCTATTTTTAAATTTTAAATAAAAATAATATAATATTATATATATTATTAAAAAAAGACCTGAAAAGTTAGTGGGGGCAACTGTCCCCACAAGACAATATGTGCATCCGTCGTTGCGTACGCCGATATGGATATGATTGCATATGAATTGTCTCTCTAACAGAAAATGATTCGTTTTTTTCGCTCTTTGTGATATTGTATATATTTCAAATTTTAAATTTTAATAATATTAAGTAAATTATATTTTATCATACAGATTAAAAAATAACTCACAATGACATTTAAGAAAAATTGCTAATTTTTTGAAAATTAAGTTTATTGACCTCATTAACATTATTAATAAAAAAATAGACTTTTAAATGGGTTATTAGGTTAGATTAAACCTATAAAAGAAATCTATAATAGATAACTATACTTAAAGTTTAATTTTGTAAAATAAACTTAACTTATATATTCAAAGTCTAATCTAACCTAATATATTCTCATCTCTACTCTTGAATTAACTAGACATATTTGACATTGTAAGTACTTGAATGGGAATGAGCCAAAAATTGAAATTGTTGAAAGTGGAACTTAATTAAGAGATAACTCTCTAAATCAAAGTGATACATGATGGTGCAAGGCACTTATTACTACTACATTTGATGAACTCTAACAGAAATAACAGGCTAATGAGTTGCAGGTGCAGCGAAATGGTGCCTTTTAGTACTAGTTTCTTTTGAGAAAGTTCTTGTACCATTGAGCAGAAAGCTTTGGGTACCTTTTTAAGCCATCGTTGTAATCTACAAAGTTCAATCCAAATCGAACAGTGAACCCTGCAAACCACTCATTACAGTCCAAAAATGACCATGCAAAAAATCCCTTCACGTTTGCGCCAGCCCTATATATATATATTTTTTCATTTGTTAATATTATCAAAACTCAATCAATAATAAATTTTATATATAATAATAATTAGCCAAACACTTACTTAATTGCTGATCGAAGATAATAGAAATGACGATAGTAATAATCGATTCTGTAAATATCCAAAAGGGCTTCTTCCACTGAGAGCGTTGGATCATTGAATTCGTTCATACCTATAAGGAAAAGAAAAAGCATATAACCATGCATTTATATATTGTTCAGTATGCACTTTTGTTTAATAGAGGACTCAAGGAGCAAAAAATAAACATCATGTATTGCATATATTTATTTACCATTTTCAGTTATGTAAATCACAGGATTGTTGTATTTGTTCTTGGTATATAATAGAATATCTCGAAGTCCCTTTGGATAAAAGTATATCCAAAATGAAGCAGCCTGCATTATAATCAAATGCACTCTCCATAATCCATTTAATATTTTATCATATCAAATGAATTCAACTTGGAAAACAACTATAGTTTTAGATGGTCCACAACGTACCCTTAGACCTAAAGGTCTTCCATTGCGTTCAACTGCAATTGCAAGAACAATGACATGCCATTATCATGTGAAACATTAAATAAAGGATGCAAGTTATTTTGTACTTTTGGGGAAATAATGATAGATAGATGAATGATATGTATTATATAAAGGGTGCAAGTTATTTAATTAGTATTGAAATTTTTAAAAACGTTTCTAACTTATATTCAAATATGTTCATATTATCCTTACATGAAGTATTGGTGAGAGGATCTGTTAGGAAACTGGGTTTGGCATTACTTTGTCTAGGTACACCATTAATGTAACTAGAGGAGTAATAGTTTAAGCCAATAAAATCAAATGAATCTTTCACTAGCCTTGCTTGTGATATATTGAATTTTGGCAATCGACTTCCCACTAGGGCTCGCATGTTTTTAGGATACTCTCCTTTTGTTAATGGTTCCATAAACCTATCACCAATCAATGAAACAAATTAAAAACAAATCAGCTTGGGAATATTTTTCTACCTTTCTTTTTTCACTTTAGTTGTGTTGTTAATGATGTTTCTCATAAGTCATATAACCTTAATAAAAAGAGGGAGCACTGAATTACCATCCATATTGAAAATCAAGTGCTCGTTTGGCGGCCCTTTGATCTGATGTGCTATTCTCTGTTAATGGTATGAACCAGTTGCTTACCAATGTTATGCCTATCTTGCCTTTCTGATATGCCTGCACAAATGCCCATTATCTTTTAAATTATACACCAAGATGTTAAGAAATATTTTACTCTAAATCTAATAAGAAAGTAAGAAATATTTATTAATCATGACAGTATAGAGTAGAGAACAACTTATAGTGTAACAAATCAAAGATTGTCAAATGTCGATCGACAAAGTAACTAAACCTGATACTTAGTCTTGTACACACGAACAGCTTCAGCATGAGCAAGAATTTGATTGTGTGTAACTATGTAAGGTTCTGTGCCAGAATCACCAGCGGTGCATGTTGAATCGGAACATCGACCTGGTGCTGTTGTCCCGGATGCATAGCCATTTTGACTGAACAACCATGGTTCATTCAAAGTAACCCAAAGTTTCACTCTGTCTCCAAATTCCTTAAAGCAAAGATCCGCATAATCCCGATCTACAGCATCAACATATTCTTCAAGTGACAGGACTTCCAACTCCAGCAAGTTCATTAGCAATGTTTTTGATTTGTGTAAAAAATTCACGCATGCATTTACCATCAAGAGTGGTAGAACGCAAATCAGTGCGGAGCTGACGTGCTCGTGCTTTAGTTTGAGTGTGAAAATACTCATGGACTTTGTCCCACACCTGATAAGAATGAACTGAGCTAATGACACGTGAAAGGATGGTCTTCGAGAGCGTCGATTGCAGCCATGTGAGGAGCATTTGGCCCTGGACTTCCCAGGTTTCATATGCTGGATTAACGGTATTTGAATCACGTCAGCATCTGTCAAATACCTAGGTGGAATTTGGGGATTAACCACAAACTGTTGAAGTTTGTGGGACTTGATGACCGGTTCAATCTGCTGCCTCCAGTGAAGATAGTTGGAATCATCAAGTTTTTCAGCTATGGAGTTGGAGAAAAATTGTGAAAAAGAAGAAAGATTATTTGACATTGCCATAGAAGAGATGAAGAAGAAAAATTAGGGTTCTGGAGGATCAAAGGCTCTTGATACCATATTAGATAAAAGTAGAAAGAGATAAAAATGTAAAAAGGAACTTCATTTCATTACTCTGCAAAATGAATACACGGGTTCAAAATATATATAGGGAACCCCTCAGTATTATAGCAGAGAGAGAGAAAATAAATAAAAGGTAATACAGCTATAAAAGTAGCAGCTGTAAAAGCAACAACAGAGAGAGAAAATAAAGACAGGTGTCTGGACAGGTGTCCCTGGAAGATTCTGAAGATGTAACAGAATGCAAAACGTAAAAAAGGGCTAACAAACAAATATTCCCTTTTTGTTGTGATTTTATACACTAATAAGGCCCACTTCTAGCTCATTTACTAGTTACACCTACACACCCTACTATTTGTCACCCCACTTCTGCTACTAAAAATATGAAAATCAATGACCTTTAATACAAGGTCAAATGGAGCAAAAGTCTCTAAGTAACATATCCTAAAATCTCAAAGGAATATCTTATAAGAAAAGAAAGAAAGTGTCTTACAAATACAAAGGTAAAATAAACCTATACAAGTAACTATTATGTCTACACAATCATATGAGAGGTATTAGGCTTTTAATTAGAGGCTCATAGCCCAAGATGAGCTATGGCCCACTAACCCAAAAGTAGGCCCAATCCTTCTGTGTTCAAATGGAGCAGAAGTCTTCAAGTAACATATCCTAAAATCTCAAAGGAATATCCTATAAGAAAAGAAAGAAAGCGCCTTACAAATACAAAGACAAAATAAACTTATACAAGTAACTACTATGTATACACAATCATATGAGAGGTATTGGGCTTTTAGTTAAAGGCTCATAGCCCAAGATGAGCTATGGCTCACTAACCCAAAAGTAGGCCCAATCCTCTTGTGGTCTTCAAGACTAACCCATTCCTCTTGGTTCCTTCAATGTATCACCTCTTGGTCTTCTTGGCCTTGGCATGATTCCATCAAAATACATCATGGATCTCTTAAATCGCATGGATATGGGAGCGTCAACGCACATTTCTTCTCCAATGATTGGTGGCTGCAAATTATCAAAAGTTGGTTTTGAAGTTTTTCTGGATGCGTCTCTCTATAGATTAGTAGTTGGCACATTACAATATGCCACCATAACCAGACCCAAAATTAACTTCTCAGTAAACAAGGTCTATCAATTTATGTCCCACGCTCTTGCACATCACTGGTTTGCTATTAAACGTATCCTTCGCTATCTAAAGGGCACTATATCTTGGGGTCTACATCTGCAACCAGCTCCTTCCAACTCACCTCTCTCCATTCAAGCTTACTGTGATGAAGACTGGGCATTTGATCCTGATGATAGGAGGTCTACGTCAGGCGCTTCCATCTTTCTTGGACCAAATCTTATGTCTTGGTGGTCCAAAAAACCAAATTGTTGTTGCTTGTTCTAGTACTAAAGTAGAATATAGAAGTCTTGCCCTTGCCGTTGCTGAAGTTATTTGGATACAAACCTTACTTTTTGAACTTAAAAATCTTCGTTCAACTCCAATTATTTTCTTTGGCAACTTGAGCACTGTGGCCCTTGCTCACAACCCTGTTCTTCATGCGTACACCAAGCATATGGATTTAGATCTTTTCTTTGTTCGAGAGAAGGTAGCTGCCAAGCATCTTCAAGTAGTCTATGTTCCAGCCATCAATCAATGTGCTAATGTCCTTACGAAAGCTCTATCTCTCGCGATTTTGTGTTCTTCGGTCCAAGCTCCGAGTAGTCGAGTCTCCTCTACTTGAGCTTGCAGGGGGATATTGGAGTATAGTTTAACTCCTTAATTATATGTACAATAGTGATGTAGATCATTTCATGATCTCCTACTTTATTGTCACATTCATTGCTTTTATTATAGGCCAACATATGTTGGCTCTATATAAACTCATCTTGTACTCTTTATGGAGTTAGTGAAAAACATATTTTGCATATTGAAATATTCTCTCATCTCCTCTCTTCTGACTTCTCTCTTTCTCTCTGTTCACAATTCTATTACATAGGGATTTGATTGCATATGTGCTATTGTTGTATTTCCTAAATTAACTTTCCAACCTTGTATATATGACTAATGTATTCTCAGCATAAGAAATAATAATAAAAAAGGGGAATAGCTTTTTTCTACCCTAATTTTTGAGATGGCATTAGAGTTCTCAAATTCTGGGAGCTGCCTCTAACTGCGCAAACCAAAACCCTAGACGACAACCTTCATTGCTATCGATCATCCAAAAACCCTAGACAACAGCCTTCATTGTTGTTGATCATCCCAAAACCCTAGACAACAACCTTCATTGTTGTTGATCATTCCTTTGAAGGCAACCTTCATTGTTGTCGTAATTTACAATACTATTGCAGCCATGGTTGAACTAGTTAACACAACAACTGAAATAGGGGATAATAACTTCCAAACCCATGGAGAGCTTCAGAGCCTCCACACTGCCTACAGATTGAATGGGAAGAATTACTTGAAATGGTCCCAACTTGTTCGTACTATTTTGAAAGGTAAAAAATAAGTGCTAACAAATACTATTAAAAATAAAATAGATTTTAATAATATTATTAAAATTAACAAGGTCAAGAAATAACGAGAAATATTGAGATAGAAAAAAAAGAGAAAAATAGAAATATGGCACGTGCCTACTTTCATATATTAAAATAAGAGTTAATCATTCATATACTAACGGCATAAAATCTTTTACACTGACAACCAATTATTTTTTTAAAATTATTTTATTTTATTTTTATTTGATTAAATAAGTAAATGACATGACATATATTATTAAAAAATATGATTGGTTATTAGTGTAAAAAAATTTTACACTGACAATATATATATATATGGATGATTAACTCTTAAAATAATTTCAATATTCAATATTAAAGTTCTATTTTTTATTAATATTTTAAATCTCAAAACAGTAATTTACCATCACTTATAAATTATAATATCTCGTCAGAGTAATAATAATTAATAGCGAAGAACCATAAAAGCCGCCACTTATTTTAATGTAAAGATCAAAATGAAGTACAAAATTTTATCACGTGAGGACTAGTCAAATACAACTATGGAATGTGGGATTTGATTTATTTAAAGGGGGAGGAGTGTATTCAATAATGCGGTAGGTATAAACCATTAAATAAGTCTTATATTGAATAGTCACAATTAAAAAACAATAAAAAAAAATTGCATTACTTTTTAAGTAATCACATCGCATTAAAAGTTCGTTTGTTTAAATTTTTTAAAAAATACGTTTGTAAATAAATGTTTTTTAAAATAAAATAATTATTTAATAAGTAGATAAGAATTAATTTTTAAAAAAAATTATTTTAAAAAATAAATTTAGATAAACATATTAAAAAATATTTATTTTATAAATATATATAGAGAGAGGAGGAGTGATTACTTTACCCTAGAAATAAGTCTATATAAACTTATTTTGTTCAATAACTCATGTTTTTATATCAAATTGTAATAATAATTCAATAGTTAAAACTAAACTTCTTAATGTATTGATTAAATTTGCTAACTTTTAAAAATTTTAAAAATATTTGATACTTCATTTCATAAATTCAAATCAATATATAAAATATTTTTATGATTATCTATTAATTTGAATTGATGAAATGAAATATCAAATAATTTTTAAATTTTTTAAAAATTTGTAAATTTGATCTATATATTAAAAATTTTAAATTTAATAGTTACATCATTAAAATTTAATGTAAAACATAAATTATTAAATAAAGTAAATTTATATAATAATAAAATATTAATTATTATTTTTACTCTATCAAGATATTATAATTTATAAGTGATGGTAAATCCTTGTGTGATGTGAATTTCCGATTGAGTTACAGTATGTTTACATTAACGTTGAAACGTGAAAAATCACATTTGACTGGAAGCAATGAATAATAGCTTCTACGTAAAATTATGCTAGACGTGGAGAGAGAACGTGTGGAAACGTATTTCCAAACACACTATTAGATTATAATAAAATTAAATTGAACGCATTGTTTTAAACACAACCTGTAATTTTAACAATAAACATCAGCATATAAACGTTAATATGTAAAAATAAAATAAAAAATAGGCAATTTAATAATAAATAAATAAATAAATGTGTAACAACCATTAGAACGATGTGATATATTAAAAAATTATTTTTATAATTCTTTTGTCTATGGACATAGTGTACACAATGTCTTAAAGATAATAATTAAAGATTAATTTGTGTTTACTAAACATGTATTTTGTTAAATAAATATTATTTTAATACTGATAAAATTTGATCGTGTAAGTATTATGTGATTATGTCAGCCTCTTATGTAATAATTTGATAGATCACTACATTTAATATAGTACATTTACTACACAACAGAAAATAATAAATTGAAATTAAATACTTTAAAATTCTCATGCAACAGTATATGGTCATTCATGCAATGAATAT